TTCTCTTCTCTTCTCTTCTCTTCTCTTCTCTTCTCTCTCTCTCTCTCCCTCCCTTCTGCCATTCCATCTCTTAGTAGCATCCCAGGGAAACTACCCGTTCAACAGGAGGTCAGGGTTGTGACATAATTAAGGGTGTGGCATCCCACCCTCCTCCCCTTATGACTGATTGGCCATCAAAAGGATTCACCCAAGTCAAGGGCTCAGAGAAGACCTGGTCTGGCCCACAGTGGACACATGACAAACCCCAGATGGGCCCACCTTGAGATGAGAGGAGGAGGGAAGCACAAAGTTTGGCAACCAGAGGAACTTTCCGTTGCTCTGGGGGCCACAGTAGTCACAGCAACTCCCTGACTTGATGTTAGCACTCACTAACTTATCTCTACATGAGAGAAAGGGTTGTGGAAGCATCTGGGTCTGAAACTGACCAGAGATGGGAAGCTGAGATTTCCCTGGACCGGTTTGATATCACAGATTGGTGTCAGTGAAGATGGAACACGACGGATGGCTCTTGTCTCTGGGAAGCAACGGTATTTGGAGGAGTGATGTGAAATCAGAAATTGACAGACTACTAGTGCACCTGATGGAGGTTCAAACCTACCTACAGACAAAAAGACATGGCCATTGACTCCTTGAAAGTTTAGAGTCTAGAAAATCCTTTGTGGAAGTTCTACGTTGTTTTATAGGCTCACGAGGATTTGAAATGGACTCAGTACAATCAACAAAGAAATGCAGTAGTTTAGAGACACCTAGGATGGAAAAAAAACTGGCAAGCTGCCCCCAAAGAAATGACAGACTTGGAAACCCTATGGAAAAAACCTACTCTATCCTGGAGAATCACTATGAGGTAAAATTGGCTCGAGGGTAAACAACTACAACAGGACCCCTTGTTGGCATCTTAGTATCTGTTGGCGAAAAAGTTAGTGTAAGGGGCAAAGAATACAAAGGGCTGTAACCTTGGGACGTGGCTGTGTGCCTTGCACACAGAGGTGTCTTCAGAAGGAAGATGGCTAGCAGCTCTCCTGAGGCGCTCTGAGAAGGAAGATTACAAGCAGTACCCACACATCTTTAGACACTGACTTTTGTGAGAGTAGAAACAAATGTTCCTGTTCTTGATAAGGTTGTTGCAAAATGAGAGAAAGCACAGTTTATGAATACAAGGAAGTCTCGCTTGAATGTATGGTGTGTTTTTTTTTATCTAACTCTGTACCCAGCCCATTAAGGTCCCGTGAGGTAAACCTTAATGTTTCTATTTCTCTGTGAATTATTCCTTTGTTTCTGAATGCCAATAAAGGCAAAAGTTTTAGGGTTCCTGGGGGCTAGCGGCCTGAGCAAGCTCTAGCTTTTCTGGATTTACATTCTGCTTTGCTAGTCTTCCTTCAGCTCTGCCCACGAGAAACAACAGCTGGAAATAGTAACGCACTCCATAATGCCATTTAAAAAGTCCTGGTAATCTGGTCGCATAAAGATTCCAGCCAATACATCCTTTGGAACCTATCTACTCTACAACACAAAGTTCCTCAACTCACTATAATCAGTTTAGGCTCTTTCTGGAATTTCTTTGCATCTTTGAGTTCCAGTTGCTCCCTCTGCCTGTATCGCTTTCCCATGATATCTATTTGCTCACTTTCTGGCTTCTTTATTTAAAAATTTATTCTTTTGTGTGTGTACAGTCAAATCGGATCTGACAGGTACAGGAGGAGATTGCCCCTCCTTCTCCAGCAGAGCATCTGGTGGATTTGAACCACATACCTCTGAGATTGCAGTGCAGCCTCTTGCCACTAGGCCACCAGAGCTCCCTAGTGGGCTTCTTTCAATCTTTGCTTATGTGTCACCATCTCTACGAAGCCTACTCTGGTCAATCTTGTTAATTATAGGCATGATTCCCTCCAGCCCATGTAGTCTCAGTTTCCCTTAACTGTTCATTCTTTTCATATCTTCAAGTATGTTAATTTTTGAACTTACAGTGTCTTGTTATTTTCATATAAATATGTCTCTCTCTGTCAGAAAGCTTCTGGATGGATGGCTCAGAGTTCTGTTTTGTTCTGTACCCATAAAAAAAAAATTTCAACAAACAAATGGATAGAGAAGCTGTGATATATTCACATAATGGAATGCTACGCTGCATTGAAAAACCAGGAACTCATACAATATTATTCCAAATGGGTGACCCTGGAGGACATTATGCTGAGTGAAGTATCTCAGTCACAAAAGGACAAATACTGCATGGTGCCACTGTTGTAAAACAGGACTGACATCGGGGTTGGGGGGAGACTGAGAAAGATGGGCTTAAAAATGTATACGGCATTTCTTTTGCTTTTCAAGGAGAGGAGCAAAGGGGGGAGAGGGGGGAAGGGTTTGTGCGGGGAGAAGGGTGCAACAATGAAGGAATGGAATTCCAAAATCTCTGTAGATGTTCATTGAAATGAAAAATAAACTAAATTTAAAAAAAATGTATACGGCAGCTTTTTTTTTCCTCCGCCATCGTTTTTAGTGTGGCTCCGTTTTGTCTTCATTATGTCTTCTCATAAGACTTTCAGGATTAAGAGGTTCCTGGCCAAGAAACAGAAGCAGAACCGGTCCATTCCTCAGCGGATTAGAATGAAAACTGGCAATAAAATCAGGTACAACTCCAAGAGAAGACATTGGAGAAGAACCAAGCTGGGTCTCTAAGGAGTTGCACGCGTGATGGCAGCATACATAATGACCCTCGGTTCATTAGTATCGCACTGTGTCAAGTTGAATGGCCAAATCGGTTAATCTGATATTGATAGTCACCATTTGATCACTATCCATGGAACATGCTTCGTTATGCACCCACATTTTCAATAAATATATGAGACCTATGGCGTAAATTGAAAAAAAAATGTATACAGCATTGAAACCAATGAGGGATAAAGCTGTTTAACAGGGGTATGTGATTAGATATTTTTGTCATGACAGGAGTCAAGAGCGAAGGCTGCATAGTGGAGTGGACCTGGAGGGAGGGATTGTAAAACAATGAAAGAATTTTTCTTTTACTTTTCCAGGAGGGTAGTGAACT